CCCAATACTTGCCAGTATCGCTAACGATCCCACCCAATACTTGCCAGTATCGCTAACGATCCCACCCAATACTTGCCAGTATCGTTAACGATCCCACCCAATACTTGCCAGTATCGTTAACGATCCCACCCAATACTTGCCAACATCACTTACGTCCTCACCCAGTATCTGCCAATACAACTAACGATTCCATATGATTACATACATACCACAGAAGTATTCAAGTTGTTGTGTAAACCCTTCAAAGATTTATTTCTTTACATCCTTTTTAAATCTATATAACGCAGTACAACAATCATGTTAAAAGCTCTTTTATATTCAATATACATCTCGATACCATAGTTATATAGCAATGTAGAAATTTTGGTGCAAAATACTACGAAATACTCTACATCATCAATTTACAGTGAACCGCGTTGTGTGCAGCATGAACAGTAGGGTCGCTAGAATTGTTTATAATGCATCGGGATAGACGTAAGGCAGGTAATATAAACTTCTCGTGGTACTGAGGAGTAAAGGACAGCAGCTAACTATATACCAATAACTGCGGTACCTGCGCGATTTCGTTTGGAAGTTACGTCGAGGTTTTCTGGAGTCGACATGCAAGACCTGCTAGCGTCGGTGACTGTTACCTGGCACGTTAGATTTTGGAGCTTAGATTTCATGATTTCATGATATACCTATTTGTAGAAATAAGACAGTCTGTAGATGTCAATAGCAAATGTTTTCTCTTTATACTGTGTTGAAAACAATGACCTTTTACACAAGACTTTCCGCTGATATAATATATATATATATAAATATATATATATTTAAATATATATATACAAATTTTTAGCACCACACGAAATTGAAACACATGCACGCGCACACGCCCGCACGCACACGACATAAATGAAGGTACCATCAACAACGCCCCCACCACCGCTACCAGAGACGATTCCGCCAAGGAGCGCGAGGAGAGGCGTGGCAGATGCCGTGAGTAATAGCGAGACACGCACGTGGACATGACGTCATAGCAACGGGTGGACCGCGTCACCACCACACCACACAATTTGATCCTTAACAAGTACGTACCGGTAGAGAGTACGCACACACTGATGACGTAATCACACGCCGGTAACGCTTGACGTCATTACACAAGACCATCGTTGTCGTAACAGACGAAGATGGAACTTGAAGGCAACATTCTTCGTGCACCATGACAGAAGGTAAAACTTTCTGGTCGCCGACAAAAATCTTTACGCGTCAACTGAGCCAACAATATTCCTCGCGGATTTCTGTGCACTTACCAATCAGGGTGCGCGCTGCAATTACACGGACCAATCACCACGCACTTTACGATTACACAGACCAATCACTATCTACTCTGCTATTACAGGAACCAATCACTGTGCGCTCTGCGATTACACTGACCAATCACCGGATTACAATACTATTTATATGCGCTGCTCCACAACTTTTACAGCATTTACAGTGTTCAGAAAAACAGAACCATTCACACCGTATTTAGAGAATGCTAAAATAACATTTCCACATCACAATAAAATTCTGGATACTCTATTCACACGGAGAGAGAGAGAGAGAGAGAGAGAGAGAGAGAGAGAGAGAGAGAGAGAGAGAGAGAGAGAGAGAGAGAGAGAGAGAGAGTGTGTGTGTGTGTGTGTGTGTGTGTGTGTGTGTGTGTGTGTGTGTGCGTGCGTGCGTGCGTGCGTGCGTGCGTGTGCGACGAATAATATTGCAAGAGAGAGAGAGACAGAGA